GCACTTCTGTGTTTTCAAGGCTGTGTCCCTGTTCTTTTTGCGTTCAGTTTGTTATTCCCCCGCACCTCCAGTAAAGCATGGTTGGCTGCGTACGGTGCGAAAGAAGTTCACCATGCAAACATACGCTGCGTTGAAAAATGATTCTACTGACTGCAGACCAATCCTGGACAGATTTCTCAATACGAGTGCAATATCGAGGGTACAGATCAATACCAACTGAACACAGATGCTAATTCATGGACGGGTGGCAACTCTAGCCATGCCCATGCAAACATACACAACATCTTGACCATGAATCGCCTATGCGGCAGATTAAATGTCAAGCATTATACATTGAATTTCGATCTACTTTTGTTCGTTTTGATTTATTTTGGCGCAGTTTCAAGTAAGTATTTTTAATAGAATTATTGTATTGCCATTTACTGTATAATTGTGATAATAGACCAAGCACTGAGACATTGCCCAGGGTTGGTCTACAATCGAAAAGGTGGCAACCCCATAGCACACCCTCATGTGTTCCAGTGTTAACACATCGTATGTTTGTATCTTGAAATTCTTTCGCACCGTACGTAGCCCACCGCTCCCCCCACCACACACGTGCACAGCAGCTCCAGAGAGCGACTTTTGGGTCAGAGGTAGCCGCATTGTACTGGGGCCGTCCATAAATGAGGGGGGGGGGGGGTGAGAAATGTGACGTCACATCAAAATGCGCAACTTTAAATAAATATAGACAACACGTTCTACGTAATTAAATAGACTTTTTAATAAATATTTTCTCCTACAACATCAGAGTGCAGCGCCACATTAAATAAGCACCACGATGACAATAGTTTAAAGCGATATGAAGCATGCTTTATTTTGGGGGGGGGGGGCACAGCTTTGTACCGTCATATTTGAGGGGGGGCTCTGACTCTTTGTGACGCCGCGTGACGATGGGAGGGGGGGTCAAAAATCGTCTAAAATCGCGTGACGTCATTTATGGACGGCCCCCACAGCGTGAAATAGCGCAACAAACCGAACCCGCGTACAGCGAGGGAAGCCCTGGCTGGTTTATCATTCATTAATCTCCAGTTCAGTCACAAACGAATCTCTTAGAGCCGAAGGCGCGATTCAGTATCACGTTGGCATGCCGTGTCAACCCGTACGGGGTTACCCCGTATTGGTGTACAGGGAGATTGAGTTCTCAGGTCCATACGGCTTACTAGAGCCGTTTCAAAACGGGCAAAACAATGTTTTGTGTTTCTCCCCTTGTGATGGGATTTTGTAGGATGAACGTTGAGATTTGTAAGGGGCACGGGGTGACCAATAAGGTCTGAATTGGTCTGTAATAAGAGAGGCAATGGTTAGGGGTTGACAGGTGTGCGTTGGCACTGCGTGCCACGTCGCGTTGTCATACAGCTGACACTCCGATGAGCAATGATTCGGCGACGCACGGTGCCAAAGGGGCCGTCCATAAATGACGTCACGCGACTTCTGACGATTTTTGACCCCACCCCCCCATTGTCACACGGCGTCACAAAAAGTCAGACCCCCCCCTCAAATATGACGTCACAAAGCTCTGGCCCCCCTCCCACCAAATAAAACATGCTTCAAATCGCTTTAAACTATTGTCATTGTAGTGCGTATTTAATGTGGCGCTGCACTCTGATGTTGTAGGAGAAAACATTTATTAAAAAGTATATTTAATTAAGTAGAACGTGTCGTCTATATTTACTTAAAGTTGCGCATTTTGATGTGACGTCACATTTCTCACCCCCCCCCTCGTCACACATCGTCACAAATGTCTGATCGCCCCCCCCCCCAGGTGCGTGACGTCATTTATGGACGGCCCCAAAGACGTTCAACATTCGTGCGTATCCGCCGTGATGTGGGGCGAAGTAATATTCTAATCTTATTATCCGCGATGCCTGCAGGATTAGCTTTTTTCTTCTTCGTCTTCCAAAGCAGATTATTAATGAGAATATTGATGGAATTTCCCCCAGTGCATGTTGGCTGGGGAAGGGCTGTTTAAGACCCGCGGTGAACCCGCTCATCTCCACGTATCGGCATGAAATGATAAAATCGCAGATTTTCGGAAGCGCGTTCGTTTCAAGTGGATGCTTGTTGTCAACACCGCCATATTGACAGCACTCGCAATCATCCCATACTCAATTGAAACTCTTCTTAAGTAATTGCTTATTGTGTTTAGTTCCTTGTCCTTATCTCATACCTCCGATTAGCACGGTGGGCTACGTACGGTGCGAAAGAATTTCAAGATACAAACATACGATGTGTTAACACTGGAACACATGAGGGTGTGCTATGGGGTTGCCACCTTTTCGATTGTAGACCAACCCTGGGCAATGTCTCAGTGCTTGGTCTATTATCATAATTATACAGTAAATGACAATACAATAATTGTATAAAAAATACTTACTTGAAACTGCTCCAAAATCAATCAAAACGAACAAAAGTAGATCGGAATTCAATGTAAAATGCTTGACATTTAATCTGCCGCATAGGCGATTCATGGTCAAGATGTTGTGTATGTTTGTATGGGCATGGCTAGAGTTGCCAACCGTCCGAGAAATAGCATCTGTGTTCAGGTCGTATTGATCTGTACCCTCGATATTGCACTCGTATTGAGAAATCTGTCCAGGTTTGGTCTGCTATCAGTAGAATCATTTTTCAACGCAGCGTATGTTTGCATGGTGAACTTCTTTCGCACCGTACGCTGCCAACCATGCTTTAATGGAGGTGCGGGGGAATGACAAACTGAACGCAAAAAGAACAGGGACACAGCCTTGAAAACACAGAAGTGCATTTGCACGTAGGGCGGTTGTTGAAGGGGAAGAGGGATGAAAATGATTAAGAGAGGCGTATCAGGGCAGAGCAAAGTGCTTATTATTATCTTAACTTAATAATGAAACGTAACTGAGCCATATGCCTTAAGCAGAACGTTTTTTTCAAACAGATGCATCACAAACAGAAAATATAACCAATGTTTAGAAATGCACAAGGAAGCGTAGAGATGATGCGCATCCTAAGAACAACACTGATACTGGAAGACGGACACGTCAATTGGACTTCATATGCAAATTAAGGACGTAATTTTAGTTTAGAAAGGTGGGGTGAGGCAGGACACACAACTTGAAGTGATGACGGCCGGTGGTCGAGACTAACGTGGGAATGGGAGCTAAGGAAGGAACACAACCGGCAGTGTCCACTGCGGATATGGAGTGAATAAATCAACAGTATATGAATTTTGATTTGGATAATTTTATTGTTTTATATCTTTATTATTTTATTTTCTTTGGTTCTTTCGGTAAAGTCACGTAGAATGAGAATAAAATAATAAAATGACACGATAAAATTCTCACGACGTTTTGGCCACAACGCAAGCGGCCGTCTTTAGGTGAAAGGTAACTGTCGGGACGACAGAGCTTCAATTAACGATGTTAAGATTCGTAGAGACTTTTAAGCTGGTTGGGATAAGTGAAGCACCTTGACAAAGGGGTTTACATATCAATAGCTGAGGGATTAGCTTGTGACTGGTCACGGAATTGGCTATGTTAAAGTCAAAACCTACACATCCACAGAGGCAACTAGTAATTTAGCATTGAAATAGCTAAGGGATTAGCTTGTGACTGGTCACAGGAATGGCTATGTTAAAGTCAAAACCTACACATCCACAGAGGCAACTAGTAATTTAGCATTGAAATAGCTAAGGGATTGGTTTGTGCAAATAGCTGAGGGATTATCTTTATTATTTTATTGTTTCCCTTCTACGTGACTTTACCGAAAGAACCAAGAATATAGTATATGAATTAGATCATTTATTTATTTTGCTAACTTTACAATTAATCGTACATTTTAATTGTACTAGTTTAATGTCTTCAGGTTTAGTTTCTAATTCTCTAGGATAAAACAAGTTATTTTGTCAAAAAGAATGACGTTAATTGGCGCATACATTGAAAGTGCAATTTTAAATGAACCGTGTCAGTCTTCAAATACTGTTCTGGTTATTCCCACCTTGTTGGTGTCCCTATTGTCTCCTGCACCCACTAACAACGGAGTTATTGTTGGGATGGAGAGAAGCACAGCCAGCAGCCAGCCAGGAAACTCGAGACATAGAATATATTAATAGCAGCATGACTTACACTGCTACAGCAGCGAGGTGGTCATGTAACTATTTACATTCTCTGTGTCGCAAACATTAAATGGCAACTAATCTTTCCGTGGTACGCTTGTCCCCACGATTTGAGGACCAATTCCTTAGCGAAGGATTTACTACCAATTGAAGGATGATACAAGTGAAATGTGAAGTGGTAAGATTGATCTTAGATCATTGCAAGCCAATCCCAGATTCTGAGTGCGGAGTGACTCGGCAGGGCCGACGGCGTGAGCCTGGCACCTTGGGAGTTGTCATGGACAGGGAGCAATGAGGCCGCGTTACCGGTTGTCTTAGTTTTGGGGAATTCTGTGTCCAGAACTCTGGTCCACAGTAACGATGAAACAAACACAATGTAGAAAAAAAGAACAGTTGCAACTCTTGCAGGAAAATGAAAGGTATTTTATTACAAAAAACAAACATCATTTACCATTCACACAAACAGTATAGTATTATAGTAGTTCGAAAATTAGACTGTGGAAAAGTCATATGTAATGATGAAAAATAATTAAAGATAACATTTATCATTATCTTATTGCAATATATGAACGTGTAATGGCAAATTAAAACGATGCGATACAATTTGACACTCCTTTACAGCGATACACTTAATCCAATGAAGTTGAATGTGAACGCTGAAACACGTAAATATTACTGAACATAGCGTGGATAAAAGAAACTGCTCTTTGGTTTTTTCGGTAAAGTCACGTAGAAATAAGAAATAATAAAATACAATTACAGAATAGCATATTCCCTGGCAGTAGCTACGAGCAGATGCCAGGGGCAGCCAGAAGCGTCCAGAATGACGCAGCTGCTCCCAGGGGCTTACATCATCCGCCCAGAATCAAGAGCGTGACTCGTGTCTCAGGCTGCAGTTTATGACAAGTTCACTACAATAGCATTTAGTTCACCCTGCCAATGTGTAAGTATCAAACCATAACATTACGTATATTTTAAAAATAACCATTGTACAGAATTGATAGTTTTTTATTAATTAAGTTAAATGTAAGGGACATTCGTTGTTTTTGTGTGACTCAGTCTTTCCTGATAAGGCTGATGATGTCATTGTGCTGTGTAAGCGAGAATTTAAGTTTCGGTTTGTATCACCCTTCAAAGTGTAGTAATTTCAGTTAAATATAGAAGAGCACATCACTCTGTTTTACATTCATTATGAGTGCTGAGTGAATTCCATGGCAGTAAACTGCTCACAAACTGCACCCTGAGACACGAGTCACGCTCTAGATTCTGTGCGGATGGAGGAAGCCCCTGGGAGCAGCTGCGTCATTCTGGACGCTTCTGGCTCCCCCTGGCATCTGCTCGTAGCTACTGCCAGGGCTATAAAAGCAGCTCCTGTAGCTGCACTGGCAGAACATCGGCGGAGGAGGGAGCAGCGCTCACAGCTGAAGCGAGCCTCACTGTGAAGCACATCAACAAGCATGGCCCTGAGTGTTTACTTCCCTGCGATGCACGTGATGGAGAGGAGCGTCTGGCCAGGCTGGCCGGTCTGGAACCCCCGCGGTGAAAGTCTCTTCCAGCAGCTGCAGCGAGACATGAGGAGCGAGATCGAGAGGATGGAGAGAATCTTCCGTGGAGTCGATCAGCTCAGCAGCCACACGCGGGCCCCGGGCAGCCACGGAGACGCACTGCTGCAGCAGCCGGCCGTGAGCAGTGGGTTCCAGATTGAAGATCCACAGGAGCAGGGAGGCGGGTTTGTCGCGTCCCTGGACGTGCAGGACTTCTCCCCACAGGACCTGGCCGTGAAGGTGTCTGGAGACAAGCTGGTGGTGGCCGGACGGCGCGAGGTGAAGAGCGGAGAAGTCAGCAGCGGCAGCTACAGCCACAGCTGCCAGGAGTTCCACAGGGAGACGCAGCTGCCCAGGGACGTGGACCCGCAGAGCGTGAGCTGCTGCTTGACTGAAGACGGGAAGCTGAAGTTCAAGGCTCAGCGCCGCGCCCTCCCTGCAGCGGCCGAGAGGGTGGTGGTCATTGAGCAGCCAGCGACAGCGACTCCTGGCACGGCCTCTCAGTCCACTGGCACCACTCACGCGTAGAGTGGCGCCTGGAGCATCCATTCCAACAACCTGCTTCATTGATGTTTTAATTGTGTGGATATTTAGTTAAATCAGTTTCTTCTATCCACGCTATGTTCAGTAATATTTACGTGTTTCAGCGTTTACATTCAACTTCATTGGATTAAGTGTATCGCTGTAAAGGATTGTCAAATTGTATCGCATCGTTTTAATTTGCCATTACACGTTCATATATTGCAATAAGATAATGATAAATGTTATCTTCAAGTATTTTTCATCATTACACATGACTATTTTCCACAGTCTAATTTTCGAACTACTATAATACTATAGTGTTTGTGTGAATTTTAATGATGTTTGTTTTTTGTAATAAAATGCCTTTCAATTTCCGTATTCGTGTACAGGGAAATTGATTTTTCAGGTCCATACGGCTTACTACAGCCGTTTTATAACGGGCAAAACAATGTTTTGTGTTTTTCCCCTTGTGATGGGACTTTGTAGGATGAACGTTGAGATTTGTAAGGGGCACGGGGTGACCAATAAGGTCTGAATTGGTCTGTAATAAGAGAGGCAATGGTTAGGGGTTGACAGGTGTAAGTTGGCACTGCGTGCCACGTCGCGTTGTCATACAGCTGGCACTCCGATGAGCAATGATTCAGCGACGCACGGTGCCAAAGGGGCCGTCCATAAATGACGTCACGCGATTTTTGACCCCCCCCCCCATCGT